TTTCAGAAAATGCTGCTCATTTGATTAAAAAGTGATGTCTAGTTTTTGGGGCACTTTCACTGCAAATGTACTCGGCACATGTACTGTAAATGCTACGTTCTATAAACCGCAGTAAGAACGAAAGAGCGTATTGACCGCGTCCATTCGCGTCCATTCCGCGTACAGTTTGCGTTCACTGCACGCGGTAAAGACGCGAAACAAACGCGTTCGCATGCTGCAATGATTTCAGGCGGTACTGTATATGTAGATAATAACGGACCAAAATACAGAATATGATCATCAGTGGAATGCCTAGATTTTTTTGCGTGAGAATCAATATTGATATGTAATAATTGAAAGCATCTGAGAGTGAAAGACTTAACAAGTCAGTTGAATGAACCAGTTCCTAATTAAGCTTGGAGTTTTTTCTACTGAAATATGTAATAAGACAATGTTCAGAAAATGTCTTTCAATTGGATCAATTATTTTAAGCTAATTACTTTTTGGTAAATTTAAAATTAACCAGCAGATTGAGGCACTTGAATGACTTTAGGATATATGAGATTAACAAGAAAAGAACCTAAGAAAGCTACTCTCTGAGAACTTCTTGATTCAAATTAGATGAGCTAAAAAGTGTGATTTTATTCCTTAAGGTCTCCTTAAAATTTCCCAAAATCACTTCTTGGAAATCTTCCACTAATTACAAATACCTGAGGTTTTTTTTGTTTTTCATTTTTTCTCTATTTTCTTTGAGCCAAGCATTTCATAAGATTATGTGTGTTTTATTATAGGTTTTAGCTATTGGTTAGTGTCATGACTACTCCGAAACATTACTCATAAACTTTTTATTCTCCTCTAAGTTTTTTATTACTTCCTCATTTCATTTCCATTTGATAGCAAAGTCTCTATAGATATCTACAGTGAAATGGCAGTTTTGACTATTGCTACTAGACCATGCAGCAAAAGCCAATGGTTACCTCTATATATACATATATCTTATTCTTATTTTGAACTTGAAGAATTTTAAGGAAGCTGCCTAGAAGGTTATAGGAAGCCTTATTTAACTTGAGAGATTTTTACTTCACATTGGCTTACTGGAACAGGCATAGTAGATCAAAAAGATAAAAGACTTCTGCAATGATTTTTTGGAATAATTAGTCCACAACTAATAATACTGGAATTATAATTTGTTCAATCTTGTTTTAATTAAACAGTATTGAAAAAATGTTATATATATAAACTCTAATTCAATACACATGTTTACAAGAATAACAAGGAGTACCAGCAGTTTGAATTTTACGAGCAGTACATGAAAAATATGAACAGGGCAAGAGCTAAATAAGTTTAAACTAGACCACTATAGCAACAAATGAATTGTGTCAMAGGGGTGCCCAGGGTACTTTAAGTTACAAGTCAAAGTCATTCGGCAGCTGGTTTAATTTAAGTCTTCCTAACTATGAGCACAGCAGAACAGAATATCTTTCCAAATTATACAGTCACTTTTATTGGTGAAAATATTCCCTWTATATTTTACTTTGTGTCATTTGGAAAATGGATTGCTTTGGTTACATTGATTAAACATAATTTTTGCCCTTGTGCCCTTAAAAGAGAGATTACATCATGTGGTAAAGTGAACAGTAGTCAAGAGACATATACTTTACATTACATACGATCTATTCAAAGCACATTGTTGTCGACTGGCTCAAGCCTATGYGACTGGACTGAAAGGAAATATGGGTAAAACTTACTSAAGTGGCTAAATATTTGTTCTGAATTCATTGTTCATGCTAGTAATAAGATAATAATGGCGAGCAACAATCCATTAAATACATGTCTTTGGGTTTAGGGAAAGTAAAACAAAGTAGGTTGTAATTTAGTTCRCGAATTCAAAAATATGAAAGCATTAAAAAATGMTCCCCGCTTGCTTAGGAGGGTTCTTTGTGTAATGCAGAGGCATAACTATTCAGATAAAATTATGCAGTCAGCTGCTCCAGTGATTTCTACCCAGAGTCCCTTTTGGTCCGGTTGAGTAGGCTTTAGTTGGTTGATGATAGCAACGTTTTTTGAATTGACTGCATATGTGGGATGCAACTACATACACGTACAGATAAGCAACAATATTAGAGATTAAAGCCACTGTTTGCCACATTTATTTAGAAAAAAATAAATTCTAATTATGGAAGTAGGTAATTAGTAGGATTGCACACTTTGAGCATTGCATCGTAATAGTTTTTTGATTCACAGTAAACTTGAAWTCATGTGTAGCCACCCATAATGCAATCACTATATTCAGTGTAATCAAACAACTGTTGTTGTTGTTATTTACTAGAAATGTAATTAAGTAGAATAATTAGCTTACTGAGAAATTGATTGGCTACCAAAATCTAATAAGGGATCTTCCTGGGCATTGATAACCTATATGTACTGTACATGTATTGGAT